TCTAGTAACTTCGGGTAATGGAACGACACTCAGCAATTTGTTAATTTGTTAGCTATCTCCGCTCCTAGAACCATAGGCAGAGGCAAGACCAAGTTGGCTCGTGCCTAGCAATCATGCCTAGCAACTTATTTCCTGCAATTTTTGTTTTTTGTGTTTTAGCTATGTTTCATCCTTTTAGGATGCTAGTGTCTGATGTATCGTATGGGTATAACATCTTTTTTTTATCCTCATACAATCTCTATGTATCTTTTCAATTTCAATAAAATTAGCCATTGGGCGTTTATAATATATATATATTGAAAAACACAAGGACTAAATCTATTAAAAAAAGGAAAGATACATAAAGATTGTATGAGAGGACCCAATAGAGGCATCCTATCCATACGATACAACACACACAAACGCCCCAAAAGAGAAAAGATACTGGGAAACCTAAAAAAAAGAAAGATACCAAAATCACAGAAAAGAAGTAGCTAGGGACGAGCCAGTTTAGTCCTGCCTCTGCCTCTAGTTCTAGAGCGAGATCCAACTAACAAATTGTTGAGTGCCGAGTCATTACCCGAAGTAACGAAAGTATCATCCATTAGGTTCTCGAGCTGAAGTTTACCTCCCTCTTCCTCCTTGAATAGACCTGTCATTCCTCTTCCAAAGACCGGCTCATCTAATCATCGTGTTGGTAAACAGAATACCGGGTAGATAAAAGCTGATGAGCACCAGAAGGATTGTTAACTGTTGCAACGACTGTAGGTTCAAGTGTGTGTGAAGCATGAACTGTCTCATCTTCACCTTATACTTCCTGCAATTGAGGAGTGTTTGAAAGTATAGGTTGCTCAACGGGGTCATCCAACTTCTCATCGATCGCAGAAATAGTATTTTCAGGGGGAGGGTCAACAGGAGCCATTAAATCAGACACCATAACCTGTTTTGTGGTAGTTTTCTCTCCAGATAAAATAGATATGTCTAAAGCAGTGGGGTCAGATCCATTATTATTCACTTGATCTTTAGATTTTCAAATTAGGGTAAAACTTATAACATTTATCAAGGTTGTGCTCAAACATATTACAATGAGAACAATAAAGAGGTCTATGCTCTATAACAGTTTGTTGTCAATATCCATTGTGAGTTGTGCCTAACCAAACTTCAGTTACATCAGGTAAAGTAATATCTCTTTCAACAAGTATTCTGGCCACAAGGTCTGGTTAGGTTAAAAGTGGGTAGATTCAACTTCAAAGAGTCCCCAAGTATGACACCAATAGAATAGAGAACCTGATGATGAAAAAAGTGTCGTTTGAGACCAGGTAGACTAAACCATACCGGTACAGTAGGAGATTCGTGCTTGAGGTTAAAATTAGGAGACCACTTGAGTAGCTTCATTTGTTTACCAGCAATGTTGAAATATTTTTTGGAAAAAACCTGAGTATAGTCTTCAGGCACGATTAGTTGAATTAATATATGTCTCTCATCCATGAGCCCCACTTTCCACTTTTCTGCTAATTTGAGATCATCAAAACTTTAATTGATAACGTCCATAGGTGGGTGTCCCCTTTGAAATTTTTCAATAAGAGCAAACTTGAATTTATTAGTCAGGGATAAAATTTCTAGCTCAGAGAAAAACAGTGTTGCTTTCCCACTTTTCCTGCTTGCAATCTTGATAAAGGGGCAATCACTTGTACCATCCCGTTGCTCCTTATAAATTGAGCGGAAGACAACTGCCGTCTCCCTCTGAGGATTACCCACCACATGAGCAAAGGAGGCTTTGTCAAGTTCAATTGTAGACGAAGGAAGCTCCATCACAGCAAGAGGAGAAGCCATGCCAAGTCGGGCAGAGGCAAAAATAGCGAGCCGAAGAGGTCGGGGTGAAAAATTGCTGTTGTCGAAGC